ACTTTTCCTCATCTTTGCAGCATGGAGAACTGTGACATACTTGGGATAGTGGACTCTGAGTTCCTCTCCAGTTTTCACATTTTAGGATTTTGTGCCTTTTAAACTGGAAAATCTTTTTGCGTGTTGAGTCGTTGTCATAGGTGGTATTTTTGCTGCAGCAATTTGCTTCTTCCTTCCTGGAGGGTTTTGTCTGTCCTTACCTTGCAGTGCTCACCCCGTTCCCCAGGGAGGAGTGTACTTCCTTGCTCCTGATGCAAAAGGATGTGAGTGGACGTGTCCAGACAGAGCTTGCAGAATCATTGTGTGGTGGGCTCCTGCTCTTTTCCCTCTGCCAGGAGAACATGTTTCCCAGAGAGGGGCTGTTCCTTCAGCCTGGCTGCCGGATGCTAAGACACGTGGAGCAGAGCTAAAGCAGCTGGCCTGCAGCCACTGACTAACATGAATGAGAAAGTAATGTTTGTTGTAGTAATAAGCACTGAGATCTGGGGGTTGTTTGTTACTAGCAAAGCTAACTAATACATCATTAAACTGAAACCAGCTGCTGTCCTTAAGATAGACTCCTTTGGGGTTTGGTGCTGTGTCTTTGAAGGGCAGTTTGCTGTGGAATACTCACAGAGAACCAGGCAGCTTTTCTTCCAGGTGCAGGCCCCTGCCTGCGGCCGGGAAGCTGAAGTCCAGCCTCCATCCTAAGCCTGGCTTAGGCCATGCTGAGGCCATCCTCTCTCACTTACCAGCTAGACTCGGCATTTTGTGCATGAGGCTCACGTTTGGCTCACAGCAATCTTAACAGGTGCTGCAGGTTTTCCTGCAGCAGCCACCACGCTCGCATGGGACAAAGCAGGTTCCAAGTTGCCGCCGTATTCATCTGCAACACAGACTAGTTACCCTGCCCCCTTCTGGACACTGTGAGCTGGGGTGAGATGTCAGATGAGGGCAAATTGTACATTCAAAAGTATATGCACCTGAGAATGGTCCTTATGTGACCTTCCTCCCCGTCACCCAGCCCTTTCTTAAGACTCGTGGCAGCCAGGTCCTCAGCCGCTTCTGCCCCGCCTTCTCTTCAGGCCCTGCCCTGCTCTGGCTGGGGTGGGATAGAGGAGGAAGGGACTTGGAATGGCAGGCTGTTAGACCACAGGTAGGATCCTGGTGATGCTGACTTGCTTTGACTGTGACTGAGGGACTGTGTGCGGAGCCTACTCCATCTGTAAAATGATTCCCTGTTCCCCTCTCAGGTGTCTGAAGCCCTTTTATGCAGATACTGTGTGCAAAGTGCTCAGTGCAGTGCCCGGCATGTAATTATTCAATAACCAGGTCTTAACTCAGCTATACCCAGGGGCACACCCATGCAGACTGGTAGCACTAGACCAGTGACTCTCAACCAGGTGTAGCTCTGCATCCAAGGGGGCACTTGCCATTATCTGGAGACATTTTTGGTTGTCACAACTTGGTGGAGTGCTACAGACACCTAGTCGGTACAGGCCAGGGATGCTGCTGACCATCCTACAGTGCACAGGACTGTCCCCACAACACGGAATTGTCTGGCCCCAACTGTCACTAATGCTGAGAGAGAGAGGCTGCAATAAACCTTCCAGAGGGCGAGCTCTTAGTAGGCAGGGGCCAGGTGGGGACTGTCAGTGTCCAGGCCTGACACACAGTGGGAACTCAGGGTGTGTGCTGATGAGTGGATGGAAGAATGAAGGAGGAAACTAATGAATGAGAAAAAAAGAAGAAAAAAGCCACAGCCGTAAAAAACAATGAAATAATGCCATTTATAGCAATATGGATGGACCTAGAGATTATCATACTAAGTGAAGTAACTCAGAAAGACAAATACCATATATCACTTATAATATGGAATCTAAAATAAGAAATGCACTTATTTACAAAACAGAAACAAACTCACAAAGAAAACACGGTTACCAAAGGGAAAGAGGGTGGGAGAGGGAGAAATTAACAGCTTGGGATTAGCAGAGACACACTACTATATATAAAGTAGATAAACAACAAGGTCTTAACTGTATAGCACAGGGAACTATACTCAGTATCCTGTAATAAACCACAATGCAAAAAAAATGTGTGTGTGTGTATAAAACTGAATCACTTTGCTGTACACCAGAAACTAACACCATTGTAAATCAAGTATACTTCAATTTTTTATAATTAGGGGAAAAAAAAAAAAGGAAAGCCAGAGTCCTGTCCCAGGGCCCCACTTGCCCAGACACAAGCATCAACAAAGGCGTTCCCAGGCTCATGCCCAACATCGTCACCTTATACCTCCTCCAGGAAGTCTCCTGGCCTCCCCAGCCTATGGCTCTGCCATCCTCAGTGGGTTGCCAGGAGGGTGCATCTGGCTCAGACTTAGGAGTGGCCCATGGAAGTTAGGATAAGTTGGCTGGGGTGAGGAGCAGGGGGCCCCGTGGGGCCCACAGGCCTGGCACGTGTGCCTACACCCCCTTGTGGAGTGCAAGGCCAGGTCCAGCCTTGCCTGCCTGCAGT